ATATTATATAGATACAATTTTATTTATATAGCTATATATCCTTCTAATTAACATAACAATTAAAAATCTATGTCAAACAGTTGTTATCACTGGAGTTCCAAATGAGCAGGTCTTATTGCCTTCCATGTTATACATTTGTGTCTTCATTGAGTTGTTAACTGGGAGCATATATTTCATTTGTAAGATCCACCAGGAGGAGAACCTGGTCAAGGAATCAGACAGGGTCTGGGACCCCATTCTGCAGTGTCATGAGGACACTGGTTGGAAGACATGAGATTCCTCCGAGGCTGGCCCCATGTCTGTGTTATGACTGTCCATGGAAGTGATGTATCTCTTAGCCTCAGCACTTTGCCTACACAACACTCCTGTTCCTAACTCAGGGCTGTCCCCTCCCCTTGAACACCATCCCCTCATGTTTGCATGCTCACTTGCCAACTTCCTTCAAAAGTTCCCACCTCACGGGGACGTCCTTAGCCAGTCTGTCTACACGGGCATCCTGTGTCTCTCAGTTGCTGCACTCTCTAATCCTGTATCCTGGTTTGCTTCTCTTTGTCACACCTTTTCCTACTCGGATAATATTAGATATGTATTTGTTTACTTTTTTATTGTCTTCAACATTGCTCTCTGAGGAGAACAGTGGGGTGGCTGGGGGAGTGGTAGAAGATTTTTAACTGTACACCCTCATGTGCATTTAGCATCTTGTATTTTGTGAATGTTATCTATTCAAAAATGTAAAATTTAAACTTCAAAAAAACTTTATAATTTAACTAGTATAAGGTATATTCTCTACAAGTTCTTACTTACAAATGTTGCATATTTCAGCTCAGTGAGAGTGTTATGAATCAAATTATGTCTGCTCAAAAAACGCAGGTAACTCCTACTACCTGTGAATGTGAACTTATTCTGGACTTCCAATCACATGTAAGATACTCATCCTGATGGCATCCTATATAATTCTGAGGCTTTCTCTTTTTTTGTTGTGCTGCTTCTTTTTACTGATTGTTCCTCTAAGAGATTAGTATTAAGAGATTTGTCCTCAATCTTGCAATTGTGTTCTAGGTGATTCAGTTTCACTCCTTTTCTTTCCAATGCATTGTCTATTTCTGAAATTTCAGTATTGTTCTTCAGATGTCTATTTACTGTTTTTGTACATTTCTAAATTTCCATTTATTTTGTGAATTTGTTCTTGTACCTTAAAAAAAACAATCTTCTACAGTTTTGTGTGTTTTCTCCTCGATTTTGTCTGTGGTTTCCTTGAACTTTCTCTCAATCCATTGAAGGTATCTGTCCTGGTTCCCTAGTGTCGCTCTGACAAGAATATACCACAAATGGGATGACCTTAACAAACCAGAGTTTATTCTCTTACAATTTGGAGGCTTTAAGTCCAAGTTCAAAGTGCCAGGCGCTAGGGGCTGGGTGAAAGCCCCTCAACCTCAGGGTCCAGCTCTGCCTCCTGCTCCTGGCCCACTGGAGCTAGAGGCATTTGTTCACTCAGACAGCTGCTGGCTGCTGAGGCTGGCAAACCGAAGGTTGACAAGTAAAAAGGCACAGTCCCGATGTTACCAAACTACATGGTAGGCCATTAACTTAAGTCCATTGTGAGTCCCAAGGTCGGCAGAGCATAGCAGGCTGCTGAGCAATGACACGGCTACATGCAGGGTCCAAGCGTGCCATAGGCCAGAGACCATTCCCAAAGCTGCTGCTTATATGTGGGAAGCAGCCCACATACCCAAAGGCAGCTACTCAGCTGCTTGTGGTAGATCCCACCATGGAGTTGATTACCAATCTCATCATGGGGAGTAACTACCACCAGCTGCCCAACCACTCAACCAGGCCCAGCCAAGCTGACACACAAACATAACTACCACAGGATCTAAACATAACTCTTTTGAATTCTTTATCAGGTAATACCAATAGCATTACTTCCACCAGAAGACTTTCTAGCTCTGTGTTTTGGTCACTTGTTTGAGCCATCTTGTCCTATTTTTTTGTATGATTTGAAGTTGTCTGTTGTGTCCAACACACTGTAGTATTATTGTATTCATTTGCTGATTATATATTGGTTTGCTTCACCCTGATTTTTTGTTCTTTTTGTTTTAATATATGTGGGCTACAGAGCAGCTGTGTTACTCTGGTCACTAGCTTGACAACACTGAGGAATTCAACACCCCTCTCCAGGTGAATCTGGCAGTGAGTGGAATGTGGGTACGAGTCTCTGATCAGCAATTGTGCAGGCTCAGCGAGTGTTGGCTGCCATCTGTCATTGATCCAGTGGTGCTGAAACAGGTGGTGGCACTCACCCATTGAATGGGGAAGCAGGTCTGGGGGTTATGGCTT